ATCACAACAGCGCGCCTCGCCTCATGAAACTTTGAGCCAGTGGCGCTGGTGCGGCACCTGCCCAGGCGCCGCGTGTCGCCACCAGACGGCCCCGGACGCCGCCCCGTCTAGGCCGTCCTGCGGCCGCGCCCCCGGGGAGACGCGGTGACCCCGCCGCCTTGCCGGTAACGCCCGTCGTTGGCCGTGTTCGCAGCTCGGTCAGTTTGTTGTCGGTCGGTAATAATTGCTCCGAGGAAGAAGAGGAGGAGGACGGCGCGGTGACGCAGACCAACTGTTAAGCTGGCGGTGAGCCGAGGACCGCAGCGGCCACCCGCATGCCGCCCCGGCCGTGCCGTGCCGTATCCGGTTGGCCGGTGCGGGGGTGGCCGCTCTCGGCCGGTCCGTAGAGGCAGCCGCCGTGGAGGCCGGCGCTAGACTAGCGGCAGCCGCCAACGCTCCAAGCATGCGCCACTACCGCGCTAGGCAGCTGAATGTGCCTGCTCGTCTCTGTTTTTGTGTTGACCTCCCCAGCCTTCTGTATAAGAACGTCCTTGCCGCGCACTTCCATCATTCTCCGCCGCTCTCTGTCAGTCGGCGCGACCTTCGACTTCGTTCGCCAGGTAGGTGCGTTCGCTAGCGCTGGATTGGCCTCAGAGCGGCGACTGTTTTAGATAGGTTTGCAGTCTGCAGAGTAGGCCGCCTTTGGAAGGTAGCGGTGATACATAGACAGTAGCTGGTCGAGTCGATAGCCTGAGTCGGCACGGGGAGTAGCCGCTGTTTTTGTAGCGTTGATTTTATGCCGGTGCCGCCTGCGCGTGTACCGGGACTGGGCGTTGTCGTCTGTTGCCGTGTGGCGCGCCGGCCGAATAACGGTGACCGTCGGCCGCGCGCGCCGCTGCCGCAGGAGCGGGGACGAGATTGAGATGGAGGAGGTGGGCGAGGCGCGGCCGCCCAGCCGCTACCTGCAGCCTGGGCGGCTGCCGAGCGGCACGCATCGCCACCTGCTGCCGCCGCTGGAGCCGTCGGCCAGCCCGGCCGCCGCCGCCGCCACCGACTCAGCCGCCACCACCAGGTGCGTGATGGGGGACTGGAGGTGTCGCTGGGGCCGTCGCCAACACTTGGGCGCACTGAGGGGCTGGAACTGCCACTGCCTCCGGTGCCGCCGCCAGGCGCGTACTGAAGGGCCGGAGCTGCCACCGCTGCCGCCGCCTTCACCAGGTGCGCGCTGTCAGGCTGACAGTCTCAGTGCGGACTGACAGCCGTGGGTGTGATGTTACCGGGCAGGTACCGTGGCACTGACGCCACCAGTATCCAAGTGCGTACGCGTGATCCGGCATCGCCTTTGACAATAGTTCCAGCCAGGAGTGACCGTCGCTCTGACGGTGTGTGTTGCCATGCGAATCTGCCCCCTGCTGCATCCCTCCACGAGTTCGTCAGACGTAGGTCACGCTGTTCCCACTTCACCAGCACCACACCAGTAAATCTTATGTGCCGAAGTACTTGATTGATCCCGAGTTACTCGCCGTGCGCGGACACGCGCAGTCAGCATGTCACCAGCGATGCCTCGGCAAGCCCGGCGCCGCCCCTCGTCGGCCACGTAGAGCGCCGGTGAGGGCCGCTGGTCGCGCCCGGCCGCTGCCCTTGTCCGGTGCACGGCGCCACCCATGCCCTGGCCGTCCCCCGTGGTGTCGTTCCCAGCCGCCGTCAGTCAGCACACGAAACGTGCCGCTGGCCGGCCATCAAACATTCACGATGGGAAGGCCAGGGGTGGGCCTTCGCCCGCCGACGCTGGCCGCCGACTGGCTAGGTGGCGCCACCGAGCTGCGCGCCGAGCATTTGGGACAGGGCAGGACGTGTGTCGCCAGTGCGAGCGCCAAATTTGAGTTTATTGGGTGTCGTCAAAGCTCGACCCAGACCTGATGAATCCATTTAGAGCGGTCCCTGCGCACCGCCGCCGGGATGGCGGGCAATTCACCTTGGTGGATGCGGCGCAATGTCACGCCGCGGGCCGGCGGCTTAGGAACTGGGCACTGAGATAACAGCTGCACCACGTGAACAGATATGTTGGACTGTGTGGTGGAGTGTTGAGGGATGTAATAACTTTAAATGTAACAGTGCATGGTACAGTGGCGTTTTTACTGCTACGTAGCATGACCCTAGATATTGTTGTCTGTGAGGTGTCATTCGTGTTCTGACTTTCGGGATCGTAGTGGGGGCTTGACGATGTGGGTGCTGGTTGTCGTGGTCGATTGCTGTCATCCGTCATTGCGCTCACATTAGTCGAAATTTTGCGATGGTTTATGTGCACTAACATTTATCACGTGATGAAGACAATTATGTTTCCTTTGCAAGAAAACGCTGCCGAAAACAAAACGTTCTCAAAGGGAACGTCGCAAGGTGCGTGTTATATCCGCAGCCGGCTCTACCCCATTGTGGTGGGACCGCAGTGGCACGCGGTGTGAGACGCCGCCGCCTCGGCAGCGCCAGAGGCGTCGGTCCGTTTGCCGCTCCGCGGCAGTGTGCGGCAGCAGCGCGGGGTCCCAGGGAGACGGCCGGACGGCACAATGACGTCCGCCCTGTGCCGCAGCAGCAGTTGGCGCGGCGCTTCCTTTGTGGCCTCCGCCGTGCCTGGGCGGCGGTGGGAGCGGCGTGCCCTTTGTATGGTATTGACCGCCTGGCGTGTCCGTGCGCCGCGTCGGTCATTAATGCACGCATTGCGATGTCATGGATAACGGAGATGTGGAGAAGACGGGTGCATGCGCCACGCTTGTGACTTCTCCTGCACCGCAGTAGCAGTAGCAGTAGCAGCTGATGTAGCTTGTTCCGGTGCAACATCGCCATGTCTCGGCGGCGGCGGTTAGGCGCTCACTTCGTGGCCTGTATCCTGGATATGGCCCGACCACGCCGCAGGGTGGGCCGGTTGGTCGGGCCACGGCCGTCGCCGCCGCCGCCGCCACCATCACCTCGCCTGCTCGGCCGATGCCCGTTTGGCGGGTGGAGCAGGTCCGGTTCCGTTCTCGCAGCTCTCTGTGGCGGCACTACGAACTGGGAGTTGTCGGCAGGGTCCATCGCCGCGTCGGCACGGGGTCGGCCGCGACGGACGCGCCGACTGGCGTGCGTCACACGTCACGTGACGCCTGGTGACGTGCTGAGATGGTTCGTCCGCCGGCCCCGCTCCGCCGTCAGGCGCTGTCTTGGTGGTGGTTTGTCGCTGTATGTTTGAGCTGAAGCCAGAAGCATGTCGGGGAAACCTTCGGGCATGATATGTTATAAATTGTATTGGTCATCTTTCAGAACACTGCGCATTTCTCTGCACCTCGCGCGGTATCTAGCCTAAAACATTGTTAAAGGTACATTTAGACATGCGTGCTCCCACTGTAGTGTATGCAGTTCGGATACCAGCAATGGGCAAGTATTAAACCGTATCGCTTGACCTGGCTTCGGGAATGTCCCCATTCGTTTCTCGGTCGGTACTTTCCGGTCAGATTTCGTGGAGGCACTGCTTTTGGTTCCGGCGCACGACAGTGAAACCCTGGCGCATGTTACTTGTACGGAACGCTCACCTTCGCATGGCACCCGGGTGGCTGTAGCCGGGCTAAAATGACTGAGCTAGCGTCTGTGGCGTTCGCAGTAATCTGGGCCAGACGCGACACTCTGGCCGGGCAGGGGACTTATAGTCTCCGTAAATCACCCCTGGCTAGTCCTGGAAACCAGAAACACGGCCAGCGTCGCCCTCCTGCTGCGCTCTCGTGGCGGGTCACGTGCGCGGGCGGCGGCTGCTGCTGACGATTATCTATTCCTGGGAACTGATGCGTTGCTGCGGTCCCATGCAGTGACAAGTGGTGGACCGCGAGTACCGTGCGGCGAGCGCTGTCGGTTCTGGCAGCGACCAGTGACCGCTGCCGGGCCAGGATTCGGTTGGTGCCGGGACAATTTCTGATCGTGCGTAGTGCTCTGAAGGCCGTGGCCCCGTGGAGGACCGCTTTGTTGAGAAGCCGATCTCTTCGTCTCGCCTGCTCTACGGATCCCGATCCCCTGTCGTGCCTCCTCGGATGGCTCTGGTGTGCTCGGTGTTTGCCGTGAAGGGCCCTGGCGCCGCGTAGTGCCTGATCCGAGTCGCCTGTCCCGTGTGGTGCCTGCTGGGCGGGGCGCTGGTCCCCTGTTGCGTGCTGTGAGCGGCCTGGCGGCGCGCGGCGCGCGGCGCGCTGCCCGGGCACCGGTCCTGTGTGGTGCCCGCGGGGCGGGGCGCTGATCTCCTGTTGCTTGTTGTGAGCGGCCTGGCGGCGCGCAGCGCGCGGCGCGCTGCCCGGGCACCGGTTGCACGGTGACGGCAGCTGTTTGTCTGTCGGTTGCAGCGCCAACAGCACCATCTCTCCTGTGGAGACGTAGCGCCGGCCGAGCTGCGGCCGGCTCCAGGCAAGTCCGCCGGCCGGCCGGCGTCCGACGTCCGGCGCCGCCCGCGCCGGCTCTCCGTCTCTCCGTGTCGTGACTGTGCGTGTCTGCACCCGTCTGTCGTGTATTGACCGGCCGGACCGGTGGCCACCGCCGGCCGCCGGTCCGGGGGCGAGCCGCACCCTGGCCCACCGGCGGCCGGATGACAGCGCCGGCGACCAGGCGGAGGGCTCTGCAGCCGCGCCTGCCGCCCGCTCGGCCGCGGACCACCGTCGGTGGCCGTGGCCGGTCTGTGGCATGCAGCACTCGAGCGGCGGCGACGCCCGGCCCTCTGTTGTGGGTCATCGGTGTTGTGCGAGTCGGGACTGCGCGGCGTGGTGCCGAGGATGCTCGGCGCTGGTGCATTGTCCTTGCCGTGCTCACCAGGGCTTGCTTGACCGTGCCTGACCGCCCCCACCCTCCCATCTGCCCCTGGTGTGGTAGTTTGTTTTGGGGATGAAGTTCGCTGTGCATGTCTGTTGATACCTTGTCACGGTTTGTCGATTGTATTGTTTGTGACAACATCCGGCGAAAATGTGCGCTCTGAGTTTTATTGCGTTTAGTCTAAAGTGATTTTGTCTCGCTTTCAGCGGCTAGAGCGTGATATGGACGACACCCATCTCAACTCTCCGTGGGCCGACAGCGGCGCCCTCAAGCGGTCATTTCACGGACTAAACAATGTTTCCTGGAACCCCCACTAGGTGGCGGGCGAAGCGCTGCGCTCGGTATATCTCGTCAAGCTGCCTCTGCCAACGACTTGGACGAAGATGGCTCCGTTCGACTTAGCTTAGGCGCAGTCGAACTGCTTATGTTCACGTGATATTTTGCGTTCAGAGGGGCTTGAATCGCAGAGCCCGGACACCACATGCGCACAGCTATCATGCGATGCAATTTCCGATTGGCGGGCTGAAAACGGCCGCGGACAGCTCGCCCATCGGTCGGGTCTCGTGCCTCGAGGAGTCCGGCGCGGACTGGCGAAGCCCAAGCGGTAGGCGCGCCTCGAGCCGGGGCTGAGTCGGGCCCGCCTCTCATGCAGCGTGTGTTGAGCGGCGCTGAGGACGCTCCTCGGCTGCGTGTCGCTCTGTGGCGGGCCGGCCGGGACCGGCGCGACGGCGGGATCTCGCTGCCTCTCTGTCCGCCCGCGCGCCTGCGAAGCTCAAGTGTCCGCTGCCGCTCTGACCTCGCCTGCGCGCGTGTTTTGTTTACCAGCGCCTGTGTCGCTCGGTGGCCGACTGTGATACGGTTCCGTATTCTGTTGGCATCCGTGCTGTTTTTCTCCCTCTCCCCACTTCCACCTTTGTCGTTTTCCATGCATAACGCACTGCTGCAACCACATACTTCCATGGTAACGACGAGGGGCGGCCGGGCTCGCGGCCGCCGATCCTGATTGGTGATGTGTGTGTCAGCGCGTGATAGTGCGAGCAAGCGCGTGCGAGTTTACCCTTCGGGTTCTGTTCCCTTCCCTCCACTCACTTTAATCCTTACGTGCACCTCCGTGCGCACCTGTGGGCAACAGAGCCTCGGTCCAGAAGGTTTCCACCATTTGGTCCGGCTGAATCCCGTCCCGTGCCGCCCTGCTTCGCGCCATGCCCAGCGCTACCCGCGGCGGCCGCCTGGCGACCAGGCTGGCCGTGCTCCCGGCGGAGCACGACCTGGCTGGCCGTGATCCTGGCGGGGCCCGACCAGGCTAACCGTGCTCCCGGCGGATCACGACCAGGCTGGCCGTGATCCTGGCGGGGCCCGACCAGGCTGGCCGCGATCCCGGCGAAGCCCGACCTGGCTGGCCGTGCTCCCGGCGAAGCCCGACCCGGCCGGCCGTGACCTCGGCGGAACCCGACCCGCTGGCCGTGCCCCCGGCGGAGTCCTACCCGACTGTCGGTCTCACCGGGCGGTCTGTTCGGCTGCTGCAGCTGACTGACCTGCTGTGCTGTGCTATGCCCAGCTGCTCGCTCTGGTGGGAGACGCTCCCGCACTTTCGCCTGATGCCTTCGTGACTTCTCCGCCGCCATGGTGTCTTGCCTTTGCATTCTTCATTAATGATGTTTTAATAAATCGTTCGAAAGCTGCAGTTCTTTTTTCGGTTTCTTAGAACAACGCTTTTCTCCATGCACCCACGTAAGGGTGAAAAAAGTGTAGCCCAAACAAAGGTTCCACAACCACAAAGCACTGATCATGAAAATCGATGACTTTGTTTAGACCATATCGCTGGTCGATGTGCACGCACCAGCTGCATGCTTCGGTGGGGTTTTGTTCGGAACATATCGTTGAGCAGCGTACACGTCTACACTTCGCGTGACTTGAGGTAGGCTTGCTTTGCAAGTAGCATGATGTCATCCACGTTGCAGATGAGTGTGGTAATAGAAGGGGAGGGGTGTGATGCGCTTTGATAGATGCATGAAAGCGAACACAAACAGCCTTGCGCAAAATGCCGCGTCGTGCAAAATTTCGACATCAGACTTAATACTGCCATTAAAGTGCTAGAAAAGGGAAATACTTGGGCATGTATGTTGGCTCCACCTGAAATGGAGCCACCACGTTGATCACATCTTTAGCTATCAGCCGCATTATTGGCTTCATGAAGCGATGCACGTTGTTCTTGGATACACGGTTTTTGCTTCTACTTTGCAATTCACTTGGTTTGCCGCACATAAGTTGTTGCTGTATTGCATGGGGTATTTTTATTCCCAGCTTATCCAAGCAAAATTCGCCTTCTGCAGAAGCGTGCAATTATAATTGTTGGTGAAAGCTAATTTTCTCGAAGCGTATCACTATTCGTCATACATTTAGTGGACCACATGGCTGCATGCGTGTGTGTGTGTGTGTGTGTGTGTGTGTGTGTGTGTGTGTGTGTGTGTGTGTGTGTGTGTGTGGTGTGTGTGTGTGGTGTATGTGCGTGTGTGTGTGTGTGTGTGTGTGTGTGTGCGTGTATGTGTGTGTGTGTGTGTGTGTGTGTGTGTGTGTGTGTGTGTGTGTGTGTGTGCGCGCTGTGCGTGTGCGTGTGTGTGTGTGTGTGTGTGTGGATCTGGAGCCGAATCTGGAGCCTTGGAATTGCATTCCCCGGACCAGGCCTTTGCCCATCCCAACCCGTGTGAATGTTATCAAACTTAAATCGTGTAAGCAGCGAGTTGCTTTCCTTGGCGGGCACTGGCGGCCAACCGTATCCCGCCTTTGGCTGCGACCACTTCTTCGCCTCCCTTTCGCCTAATGACTAACATAGCCTGTTGTCAGGCCTTGCAATCTCGGTCTTTGTTTTTGTTTTTGCTTCCACCTCTTAGTGGGGAGTGCCGCGACCCGCGTTTATTCCGGTGTGTTGTTGGGGTAGTGGGAAGGGCACTCCTGGTCGCCTGTTAATGGGTGGCGGTAAAAAAAAATGCGAGAGGCTTGGATGGACAGCCAGCACCACGTCACGAAGGCCAGCGGCACCGTCCCGCGCATCCGAACATCGGCACACGGTGTTCCTTTCACCCAGAACCCGGCCGGCCTCACGTCGCCTGCCCCCTGCACCGCCGGCCCCCGCCACCCTAAGTCTAACCCAGTTCCCAAGTGCCTCCACATCTGCCAGCGGCGGCGGCGGACCGGCCGGCCCGGCGGGTCGATGCCAGGGGCCGGGCGCCCGCCGCCGCCCGGCGCACTGGCCAATAGCCAGCCGACGTTCCCCGACCTTGGCCACCGCTGCACGGCAGTGGGCGCGCGCCGGCTGACGTCGTCAGAGCTCCGACTGCACGGCTGGAACGCGCAGCGCCAGCCGCCGCCGCCGCCACCGCGAAGGACGAGCCGTTGCAGGCAAGTGAGCGCGTCCGCGCAGAACACAGCCGGCCGGTGCGGCCTGCTGCTGCAGTCGGGTGCGCCGCTTGACTGGCGTGCTTGCTCGGCGTGACCGGGATACGCGACGCGTGGAGAAAGCATGAGCGCGTGCGCAGCGGACGCTGCGGCCTGTGTGCCGCGGTGCGGCCGCTGCTGTGTTTTATCACTGTGCCATGCTGGTCCCCATTGCTTCTGCATCCAACGGTTGGCTGATTTTTGTTTGCTCAGGTTTTAAAAATAGGCTCACAGTGCAATGTTTGTTCAGAGGCGCATGACCCAAAAAGTCGGCGGCTTTAGCTTAGTGTCACGTCACAGCTGCGGAATCGATGGTAACAGTGGACGCACCGATCACATTGGCGTGTGCTGGAGGGGCGCGACAGGTTATTGATAAATGTAGGCCATTATTAAACCATTTCTTGTCGATGAGCATCGCTCATTGGAGACTGAATTACATGGTCGCCATAGTTAGATGTAGTCTCTTAAGCCACCCACTTGAGCGCTGTCGATGGTTTTTCCTAGTCGGTCGACGAAAGTAGTGCATCCCTTGTCGACGGCAATATGCGCCTGCAGACGACCTTCAGAACTTCTGCTCAGTCTGGCTGGTCCGGGCGGGCGCCACCGCAGTTATTTCAGTCCAGACGATGCCGTCCCACTGACCCAGGCTCGGGGTGCTGGGTCCGGACGTGCCAAGTATTCTGGCGAACATGCGCCTTTGGACCCTTAGCCGGGAGACAAAGACTGCTAAATCCGTGTGGTTGTTTCTCTCCATTCTCCGGCTGCGAACCGTCGCAGTGTCGGCCGCTTTGCAGTTAGATGATGCTGGTCATCTGCCGGAGCCGGAGAGCAAGCAATTCTCAGCCCGGCTCTGTAGAGAAAGCAACACACGACAGTCTGGTGAAGTCCAGCGTTTGTTTTACTATGCAATCCGTTACACCAATCCGGACAAAACGTTCACTGGCCGAGTCGCGGTCCCAGCTTTCCGCCACCGCCCAGCGGGCCGACTGCGGAGCGTCGCCGGCCCAGCGGCAGCTGCCGCGCGACGAGCCCAGCTCAGCACGGCCGCCCTGTTTCAGTCCGCCGCGCCCGTGTCGAGTGCTGAGCGCGAGGACCTGCCGCCGCCGAACGATGAGGCTGCTGCTGCTCTGCGCACTCGTGACGGCAGTCACCGCCGTCGAGGAGAACCGGATCGACGACTCCAGGTACCGTGAGCTGCCGATCTACCGCGACGGCGGACCGGTCTTAAAATGGGCAGGGAAGGCCTCGAGGCTGCTGGACTTCGGGCGGCATGAGGTGGCGGCTCTCATGCCGATGAAAGCCGACCATCACTACCAGAGGGTATTGGCGACGTGATGTTAGTAGGTAGCAATGGTTATATTGACAAAACTCAGTGTAACCAAAGCTAACGTACTAACGTTGCTAAACCAGTATCTCCCGCTATACGGAAGGTCGAAGGTAACAGTTAATCCCTCTCTCTCTCTTGCGATCAGTACGCCTTAATTAAACCCGTCGTTTGATGTCACTGTTAACAAACATGTAGTCAGTTTGGTCATCCCACCAATCTCAGTGTAAAAGTTGCAGAATGCAGGCTAGGCAGCCCCCCTTGCGCCGTCGATCTTCACGAGCTTTTGCATGGGAGCGTACCATGGTGTTGCAAGACCACCTTCCGCAAACCGCCGCCTTTTGTATCACACCACCCGAGTGATTGCCACATCACGCCTTATCACCATTCACGTCATTGTTTGGACGCCACTCCGCAAATATGAAGCCAGGTGACTACTTAACACGCACCAGGTTGGCCAGCCAGATACCCTTCGCTCAGGTGGGAAGGGTCAATTTACCCCCCCCCCCCCCACTCTGAGATGTCGGGAACTAAGAGAGCTAAAGACACCAAATTTACAGGGCGTGTTGACCTGTACGTGAACTCACTTAGTCAAAGTTTGAAGTTCCTAGGTCATGACCTCCGGGTCAAGTAAGGTCAAATAAGGTCAACTTCCAGGTCGTGTCCAAAGCACCTCCAGAACTTAGATAACGGTTTCTAAGCAAAAGGTCACATGCTCAGTTAAGTTCAGTGACCTTGTTTGATCTTTTAAAGGTTATGATGACCCAAATCATGCAAGAGTGCTCTGAGTTTTGCATTTCAATAAGCGACAAGGATTACGCTAGGCAGTATGCTTCTAAAAACCAAATGTTGACCTGGTTTATTTTAGGTCAATGACCTATTCTAACCTCTAAGAAGTCCATGGAAGATGTATAATGCGGTTCCTGCCATCAATGAATTCGAAACGAGCACTAGAAACTATCCCACACTGCAAGCCCTAGAGTAAAAAGCAGGTTGATTTTGACCTTGGTCTGACATTGTTGTTGATTGGAGTTTTAGGGCGCGCCGACTGCTGTGGTCATTTTGCGCCCATAACAGCTAAATGACTGCCTACGACGGTAAATGGTTAAAAAATAAAATATATTAGTCAGAAATGAAAACGGCTGAGTTGTGAGAGGAATACGTCACCAATGATGTCCGAATATGTGAACCCACAATAACATCTTGATATGAAATTTTCAGCAACCTAAAAACTTCCTACACGCGGAATGAACTATTCAGGCGGGTGTATACAAAGTGCAAAACTTAACATGCGAAACGAACCTGAGGGCATGATTGATATATGGTGAGCTGTCACACAGTAAATCGGAGAGCGTCAGGGATGGCGCCGCCGGGCCAAAGTACCTCAAACGCTCGACACGTGGTATAGGACAGCACACGAGCACATGCTCCACTGTGAGCGCGGCGTTGCAGTGGCGACATCGTGGTAGTTCATCGTGACATAGTAAGTATCGATGTGTAGCATAAGTATGGCCAATCCGTAAGCGACACAGGATTACTTCCTCCCGTCTAGACTTTCAGTAGGATGACGTATAGGATGGATATAGGACGCCAGTCCTGAACAATCGGCTTAATGCTTTTGAGTTTACTGGTGCCCATCGCATCCCATGTGCTCTTCCATTCCCCACGCAAAAAGGCAGAGATGGCCGAGTATAGGTCTATAACGGGTATCGGAAACGCTCTTCGACAGGGACGAAGAGTAACACGCTTTGCGGCAGCGGCAGCCAACTCATTTCCCGCAATGCCAACGTGGTTCGGAATCCAGCAAAGTACTATGGTCTTGCCAGCCCGGTACAGACAGTCGGGACGCAGTAAAATATCCTGCGTAAGAGGATTGTCCGGATTAAAACGTCTTAATGCCGAAATGGCACTTAGGAAATCCG